AGTTAACCTGATTTTCTGCCCCCCCCCCCCCAGAAAGTTTTATGCGGGCGCCCATGGTTGTGCTATAACTAAGAATAAGTGGCAGTCGCTCTGGTCACCAATTCTGTGGGGGACTGCGTAAAAGACATCGAATATCATAAAAAAATGAATTTTTTATAGACTCCGTTATAATGGCGCCCACAGAGAAGAAACTCACCAAGCGTAAATTATATTTTTATAATATTACAGAGATATGCATCTGTTTAAATGGGTTTCATAAAGTTTGAAGAACTAATAAACTTCTACTTTGTATTTTCATCATGATTTAATCTTCATGTGTAAATTTGATTTTCTTTTTCTACCCCAAACACTGTACACTATACGGCATGTCTTGCATCTTTTCAGTTAGGTAATGGTTCTCATTGAGTCCGAACAATCTATTGGTAACGCTTTTAGTGTAGTTATTATATATCCTTTTTAGTGGACTAGGATTTAAATTAATAAATAATTCACTAAATTGCTAAACATTTCAATTACTATGTAAATGACACATGATTTTATCTTATTAAACGTATTGTTTTAAAAAAAGATACCCAATGAAAAAATATACATTTCTAAAGCCTTAGTCATTCGTTTGAATGTTACAATGTTGCTGATTCTTTCATGATTTTAGACTTTAAAAGTTCTTATTCCATTCCAGTACCACTAAAACCATGAACTGTTTCTTTAACTCCACAATGCATATGATGATTCAGTAAAATATCGCTGACCCCTAGTATATAAACAAAAGCTCCTATGCTACCTGGGCATGTAGGTGTAGTATAGGCATATTTCGTATATTTGATAGAGTCTTCGGTTCTTACTATTAATCTGTTGGTCCAATGGCCGATAGAGACATGTTTAGGACAGCCGTGGGGGTGGGATACCATTATGGTCATGTTATCTTTTACTTTACTGTTATTATATTTAGAGTTAGCATCAGCCATTTCTTGAATGCAATTGGTTGTTTTTAGCTCTAAAGAATTGAGCAGACTTTTTTGACATGTCACACATTCAACTAGACATTGATCGTCTATAATATTACATTTGGTCACACGCAAACCATTGATACAATGATAAGGTCCATTTAATTCATCAAAACATATTTGAAAAGTTGTTTTAAGAGCCTCACTATCATCAAACACCAGTGATTGGGCAGTTGAAATATATATTTTACCCCTTATTTTTCCAGCTTCATCCGAGTGTAAACATTTATGACACTGACATTTTGGGCCATCTTCCTCTGTCATAAAAACAACATGTTTTATCAATCCGGTTCCAAATCTGAGGGTAACATTGTCTTTTCTTTTATCATAAAATGGGTAAGGATGGTCTGTATCTTTGAAAAATTCTGGTCGTCCATCACTGACGTAGGAGACTTTTACTTTCACAGTAAGGTCAGCAACTATTTTCATCAAATGAAACACATTATTGGACTGATGGATACGTGGGAGATGTTGCTCTGTGAATTTACCCATTGGAATAAATCGGTTGTGGCATTTATTCTTTGGACATGTCTTGAAATCCTCCATTAAATTATCTGTCACTGTGAAATAAAAATATTTCATTATACATGAAGGTATAGACCGGTAGATTAATTTATTAAGAAAGGTCAATCTACCATTCTTACTTAAAGTAATCTTTGAACACATATAACAATAAATATAGTGTTAAACAGTCCATATAAATAAGATTTTCAAATAAATGAAATAGAAGCAAAATAAAGAAATTTGAGTTTAACTATTTATTGACATAATTATACGATTTGCTTTCTCAATTCGTAAGGAAAATAGTGAGTGAATGCCTTCTTCACTTTAAAAAAAAAATTATATATTTTCATTATTAGTATTATTATTACTTTTGTAATGAAGAGTCATAAAATCATTGATTTGCCGACTTGTATGATAATACTGTCTAAGCAAAGTATGTTTTTTTTCTTTTTAAACTCGGTTTGTTGCAATTATTTATAAACATTAGGTTAAAGATCAACAATGTAAAATCATTTTACCCATGTAAGGCTTGTTTGTCGACAAAATAATCTTCTTTGCAGTTTCTAAGAGATAAATTTGAGATGAATAATATGAAAATTGAATTAAATTAACAATATATTGTAAATAAAGGGAAAAAAGGACACAAGTAATGCACGTATTATAGTTCAAACATGTATATTAATCGTTCATATATATTGTCTATTACATATTAAAACCAACATGGACAGTCTACCAGCGTCACAGCAAGAAAGTGAAATATTTTCATACACCCTGCCTCAGAAAACTCCTCGGCATGAGGTGACAAAACAAAGTTACTTAAAAAGAGGTCCTCGCTAGAGCGAACCTACCTAGTATGTTTACTACCCTCATGCAGTCTTAACTCCGTTATATGGGACACGTAGCCCGTATGAAAAACCATCGGCTCCCAAAACAGATATTCTTCCAAGAACTCACATTTGGCAAGCGCTTACATGGAGGTAAACAAAAAGCGATCAAAAAATCGCTGAAAGTTGCACCAAAGACCTTCAGCATCAACCCTACTTAATGGGTGCAGACAGCCCAGGATAGAGCCAGGAGGAAAGCAGCTGTCAAGATGGGAGCTAAATCTCGTGAAGCCAGTAGAATAACCACAGCTGAGACACGCATGCTGGCACAAAAGAGCAACATTAAATCACCGACTGTAGCAATTATCCCCTGCCCACGATGCCAGAGTTTATTCTGAGCATGGATCGGTCTAGCGAGCCACCTACGAGCTCACCGTAACCCACAATACCCCCTAATCTGATAACCCGATGTTCCTAGTCGATTTTGATGGACCAACAAACTTCAAACAACCACTCTATAGAATAATGATCGAATAACACTCTTCAATGATAACATATCTATGAATTCGTTGGTTTTTGTTAATTAGAAAGAACGCTATATAAACTAAAGTTAATAGACAACGTGATTACTATAAACATCATCTACTATAAGAATACTATCTGGCGGGCTATATATATTTTCTTATATTTTAATAAATAACCACTTTCTTCAAAACATAAGCATTAATTATAAAAAAGCAATTTAAAAAAACCAAACAAACTATGTATATAATAAAAAAAAGTAATATGGGCATATCTAACTACGTTTATAAAAAAATTTTTTTTTAAAAATGCAATTATATGTAGTTATTCCAATCGCTATTTTTGATCTAAAATTTACCATTCGTTGTTTGTTTATCGTCTAGTAGATCAAGAAAAACTTCTTCGCCACAAGAATGATGGTTCTTTTTCCTATCAATATTAGGTCGACACTGCTGGAAAAAAATAATTTAAAACGCTTAGAATTAAAGAAAAGCATAAACAATCTTTTTAGCCAATAGATGACGTACTTAAGGACAATATTTCAAAAAAAAAAAAAATAAGACCATTATTTTTTTTTAAATTTCTATAATTAATGTTTAATTTCATAAGTCATGTGAGACAATTGTAACAAATGAATCAGTCAGGCATATTATATTATATTTTATAATATACATTTTAAAAAAATAATAAATTGAGAATGAATAGATTCCAATCAAAGAAAATAATACCACACTTTAACGAACATTTAAAAATAATTTTCAAATCCATAAACAAAATGATTTTTCTATCAAATGAAATATAAAAGTAGACTTGAAATTAAAGGACGCTTGGACTACCTTTAAAAAAAATAGGATAAATTAAGTAACTTGTGTTGGATACAATCATTATTAGAAAATTCTCTCTAAAGGCGAACCATTTTGTTACATTTTTTAAATCCTTCTTATTTCATTCTTTATTTTTAAGTAGTGCATTTCTTAAATGAAGACTAGACAAACGCTGTTTAAGACTAAACATTGATGTTTATTAGGATGTTCATTTTCTTGATAAGCTAAGTTACTCATTACTTTCATGTTTTACATAATGTTTCGACGGTACATTAGCATACTTACTTTGTACATAATATACGATAACAGTAGGCACAATCTAAAAAAACAACAAAAAAAACCAATTGACACATAATATTAAAAGCAAGCAAGTCATATATTTTTCTATGATCAGGTTTCGCATAAAGGAATGGTGATAACTGAAAGTACAGGAATATGGAAAAAAGTATGTGTTATTTAAAAATAGAAACTTTGTTAGAAAAATCATAAAGATAGATAATATTTTTTAGTGCAATATGATAGGACTAAATGTCTGTAAATTTTTCATCTTAGCTATTGTAAACATTTTGCGCTATGGACCATACAATTGAACAAAAAAAAAAAAAAAAAAAAAAAAAAAACAATAGTAATAGAAATGTGAAAAAATAATTTAATGAAGCATTTTTCCTAATTTTTTTTGTTGCAATTTTCCTATTTGACGTTAGCACAAGTAAACCACGAGAACAATTAACCCGTGTTAATCCTTTATAAAAAAAAAGGCATTTTGATATTTGAGATCTATACTTTTTATATTTTTTTGACTGACTAATTAATTTTGTATTGTCTCCCCATTGCAAATTTCACGTGAAACTGAGTTGTACCAAAAAGAATTGGTTAATCAGAGGGTACAAGACAAATGCTAAACATGAAAACGTGTTCACCTTTATTGTTACCTGTTACTATTTTACCATTAATCAATATGTCCTTTATTTTGTTGCACCTCACTCCTTTTTTTTTTTTACTCCTAACATGAGTTTTCCAATGAATTAGTCATATCATGGGACAACAAAGCTTCAATTTAAAAAAATAATTAGGAGAACTGCCAGGAGTCAATGGAATAAAGACATATTCACTTTCCTAGACCGGACATAGAGCTAAAAATATGCGTATATACATTATTAATCCATCTCATCTTGGGTCATTCGATGCAAATTTGTTTTTAATTTGGAAACCACTTTATCTTATCTATGTTTAAGGAATCCATGTATATATTTTGTACATAAAAGAACGGTCTAAGTTTCGGCAATCGAAAAACACAGAGTAGGATGAACAGGAGACCACTAAATTATATACATACATAAGTTAGTAGTCTCTTGTCCTTTACAACCTATGTTTCTGAAATGCCGAAAGCATGTCCATTTCGTGGTGGTACAACAGGTATATTGCTTGATTACATCACTATCCTATAAATATTAATACCCTTATATTTTGGGCGTTTCTTCTCTCTCCCTCTTGGCAGAATTTTGGTATTCTTAGTAATTACGCATGCCTCAAGTGCATACTTTCCTAAGGGTAATTTAGAAAATAATTTCATGGTTTCCTAAACATCTGAGAGAAAATTACTATTTGTTGAAAAAAAAATTCTATCAAATTTAATGTCTTGATATAATTTGAAAACTTTTTTTAAAAAGTTAACAATGCATATATGTTAATTTCACTGTTAAAATCGTTATTGAAAACGGCGCATTTTCAACTAATATTCATTATATTTAAACGCACACACACATTTAGTTTTGTACTTACAAAAGTAGCATCGGCACTGCATTTACCACAACGATAATCACTGTGGTGTTAAATTTGCTACCGTCATTTTCTTCTGGATTTGAGATTGTTTCTTTCAAATCTTTTAGATACATTAACACATGTTTTATAACTACATTTTTTAAATAAAAAATGAAGGTTTGAGACAAAATTTATTTTTTAAATAAAAATATATTTAAGAAAAAAATGTTATTTAAGTTCACAACAAAGATGTTCAGTTCTAAACATATTGTTCAAACTCAACTAATTACTGCTTTAAAATAGTAAGCATTAAGTCTTAATGGCATGGGAGGGGGGTGAGAAATTCTTCTTTTTTTTTTTTTTTTTTTTTTTTTTTTTTTTTTTTTTTTTTTTTTAAATGAGAAACGCAATTTAGCAATAAAAATGCAACTTTTGTATAATATTTAAAAAATGTACTAGATATACACAAAGTATTATTTAACATTAAAATTTAATTAAAAATGTGTAGCAAGTTTCCAAAAAAAAAAATAAAAAAATAAAAGCTATGAATAAAAAGAAACAAGAAATGTGTTTGTTATTATTATAACATAATCATTTTATCAAAATTGTATTTCTTACCTATGATGAATTTACAGTTGAAGTTTTGAGAGGGTCCATTTAATCTACAAATCGCGTATTTAACTAGAACACCAACTTCTTGTGGAAAAATGTAATCTCCTTTCCATGTCGCGTGCCCTTTGCCATGAACAATCTCAGTTGAATCATTGGTTGAGATTTCAATCAAACAGGGCACAACGTTACTTTCACACAGAAAAACAATGAATAATTCTGATCTACTGATACTTTCTCGGCATTCATCTGACGAATTAATGTTTTTACCATTGACAATGAGTTGTCCAGATGCTTCAGTGTGATCTGTAATATATTTATTTGTTATCATGTACTATTTATTTGGTTACTTCAAAAATGTTAGTAACATAAGCATCAATAGCTTTTCTCCGCTATTTAATTTATATACTTTTAAACAACTTTAATTTACAGGCCACATACAAAACAATAGCTTAATCTATACACTATATAAATGAATTGTATGTTACCTGATATTTCTGGTAAAAATTTCTCGTTACTCATTATCTTCATATTGTCAGATGTATAAAGAATGCCTCGCAATTTAGCTCCACTTAAAGATTTGGTTGCATTCAGACTGACTGTTAATTCTATGACAAATTTGTCAATATGAATACCATTTATGTTTGTAGAGTTCTTACAATCTTCTTGGATATTGCAGTCTGTAAACTGTAATTAAACGAATTTGTTCAGAAAATATAAATACAGATAAATAAAGGTTCATCATAGTTTTGAATTGTACAATCTAATTTTATTGTGAAACTTTCTAGTTATTTTCTCCCCCAAAAATTATTTGAAAAGCACGTTTTGTTTTAAAAAAATAACTTTTTACATTTTAAAATACATAAATGAACCCCAATTATGATTTATTTGTTAGCAAAAAATAAACGTAACAATATTTCAATAATTAATTATTTATATATTTATATTTAAAGTAACTACTATGCGTCCATAGTTAGAGATCTAAAAAAAAATATCAGCAAACCATAGTAGTACACACTTTTATATGTGGTATATATTTTTTTCTCTTAAATGCACTACAGATGATATGTGAAGAGTAACGCAGTTTTCATTTCGAATTGACCAATTTTTTTTCAAAGGAGAAAATTAATTAACATTAGAATTATTTCATGGCTACCTTGTGATACCCTGAGTTAGGCTCATGCTATAATGCGATGTACGTATTGCTCTCGCTACACAATTGTGTTCAGGCATATTCACCCATGGTAAGTGGGAGTTATTAAGGTCAAACTCCTAATTTGTCATTACTGTAAAGTTATTTCAAGAACATGATGTAGCTCTGGCTATCAGGTACCACAGAATTGTCTACAAAAATGAGACGAACAAAAATGAATTAATCCTTATGCACTTTCGCATTTGCCAGCCCAACAATTTGGAACGCCCTTCGTCGGTCTCAGAAAACCGATTTAAAAACACATCTATTTCGCAAACACTTTCTGTGGTGATGCTATCTAACATCTCTTTCAGTTAATGTATATTGGCTTATGTTGCTTATGGTTGAAACGGGATGAAAGACTTTGACTTGATATTCTCGTATGTAGTTTTATATTGTTGCGTCTGTTTTTTAAATGTGGTAAATTTTAGATTGTTTTTATTTCTCTTTATAATGTGGTTACTTTGTACTGTGCTTCGAGCTTTTGGGGATGAAGCGTGTTTCTCAAATAAACTTTATTATAATTATTAAAATTATAATACTACATTTTAGAAGTTCTGTCCCAAAGCCGCAATATAAATAATACGGTTAATCGTGATTAAGATGGACTAGATCGAGACTTAATCCAGAGCAGTGGTTCTTAACCTAGGTTCGATCGAACCCCAGGGGTTTTGTGAGTGAGTCTCAGTTGTTCGTCGGAGGTTTGAACAAATCAGGAAAAAAAAATCATAAGAAGGGTTCGGTGAATGCGCATATGAAACTGGTGGGGTTCAGTATCTCCAACAAGGTTAAGAACCACAATTTAACATTGTTTGTATGTGTATAAATATTTTCACTATTCCGTTACTTGGGCTGATTAAAATGTTCATTGTTTGCATTTGGAAGTTTGATTTTTAGAATAAACATCGTGAAACGGCACTAGTAAGTTGTGCCTCTCTAAAAAAAAGTTGCAGTAAGTTTTCAATGCAAATGCCAAGACCAATTATTTTTTGCTACGCGCATGGTGTGTGATTGTGTTGTAAAGGAATGTTTTACCACTTCCAGAAGGTCAATAAGCAAAGAAAAGACGTTTGGTTAAGTTGTTCTTTTACATTGATCCCATAATTTTATCGAAAACACTTAATATCTCTAGCTGAAGAATTTTTAACTGCTTCTACAAAATTTGTTTTCTTAAATTGGGGCGGGGGGGGGGGGTAACTCGATCATAATATTATCCAAAATTTATTGACTCATCATAGCTCCCGTAGGGAAGTTCTTATTCAAAATATACCAATGATTTTCTATATATTTAAATGAAAGTTACAATTTCTTTAAGTATCAAATAGAGAGCTTTTTCTTCTTCTTAAAAACTTCTTTTACAGTCTTCCATTATATTGTTCTTATTTCTGTCGATGCTGCTGCATCTGACGGCTCACACATGATAAAAATAAATTAAAGCAAGGGCCTAAGTTCTAATGACATTTGATGGGTGGCAGCTCCTGCTAGACACGTATCTCGTCACGAGGAATCATCAGTTTTTTCTTGAAAAGGTGAAAAGATTATATGAATTCCTTCGATCGTTCGTTGGTCATCGAATGGTTTGCTCCTCTTACAATGATAACAACAATTTAGAGGAAACTTTTTTTTTTCCATTAGGCGTAAGGTAAACATACTGCAGATGGCAATTTCGTGTCTTCTAAGGCGTGGTTTTCATCTTAAATTGTGGTCCTTCTCGACATAATGTTCGACAATATCAATTTTTAAATACTCCCTGGCATTTTGGTCTTTCCGATTATGTTTAAGCTAAGGCATAAATTTGTACTTGGTTGCTTTATGCTATAAAGCTTCAGTTTTCTTGCGCTCTGAAGCCCCCCCCCCCCAAGCATGCTTCTGGTGCACTTACATTTCGGGTCTTCAAGTAAATTTATTCTTCATCCAATTTACTAGCAGTTTCCTGTTCTATGGGAACATTAACACATTAAATAATTTTACCTCCATGCTCTAAATACTACTAGAATGTTTACTACAGGAATAACTAATGGGTAGTTTAATTGCAAATTTAAAAATACTTAACAATTTGTCTTCTCGGATGAGCATTTTTAGGAATCATGTACAAATATTGTTTTAAGCTGTACAACAATGTTTTGTTACACAAATTCTATAGAATACTTATTGTTAGAGACTTACAAACGTGAACTTAGTGTAAGATGTTTTCTTTACTTGGAAAGTAACGTATTTCATGGCCGTATCCTCCGAATAATCTACATGACATTTAAAAACAACAACGTCAAAACCACTGATGAGCCCCTTACTGCACTGCGATTGACTGTCTTCTTGTTTGAAGTCAAATAGAGTTATTAGTTGGCATTTTAAGCATGCTGAAATAATATAATAGAATTTTATAATTAATGCAAGCTATAAATGATACGGGAATCTGTTCTCTTGTTTACAATACAAATTCCAACAATACATATATATATATAGTTTTATTTTTTAAATATCGTTTTAAAAATAAACATTGACAAAAGTGAAAATTGATTTTTTTTAAATATATATTATGTCCAATAATTAAATTTAAAAAAAAAAATGTATACCAAAATTAATACTTATTTTATTTTTATTAAAGTTTATTTATAAATAAATGTCTTATATCTATCTACTCACATACAGCAAAAGCCAAAATCGATAGGCTATTTTTTACAATCATAGTGTTTTAGAAAGTCACAGCTCTATTGAGAAAAAAAAATGCATAACATTGTTTTACTAAAAATGGAGTAAAATAGATATTACATACTCTTTCGCATAATTATGTAATATATTTTTGTTTGTTTATTTCATTATAATTTATACACAACGTAACATAAATCTTAAAATTAAATAAATAGCCCATACATTATTTTAACATTTCTGATTCCATAATTATTTGTTATGAAGTGTGTTAAATTGTATAAACTTAACACTGTTATTATTTTAGCTACGAACATTTAAAAAAAAAAATTAAGCATACTTTTTAAATGTATCTAAAAACAATCGTTCTTTCTATACACGTAGAATATCTAGGCTCTAGACTCTAGCGCAATGGTATTTTATTACCATGACCTGGTAGCTAAAATTGCAAAGTTAAAAAAATACACAAAGAAGTCATATTCCTAGAAATTAATTACGGTATTTGTCAAGGTTACGGTGCAGGTATATAGTGATTGTATTTATTTATCACTTTTATCATATATTTTTTGTATGCTTATGATGACGTTTTATTTTAAAAATAAAACATAATAATTTCACAACATATTTATTTTGAACTTGTTTGTGTGCATTTCACAGGGGGATTGATTCATAAAATAAATAAAAAAATTAAAACAATTAATCATTTAATTTTAAAACTTAAGTATACAATGAAAATAATTAATATTAAAAACATTTCAGCCACTATTGCAGTCTTGCATATGCTTTTAAAGTGGAAGCACAAGTCAGACAAGGTTGTCTCTTGCCCCAATTTCTACTCCCCTTACCACTGACTGGATAATAACAAAATATATACAGTCAAAAAGAGATACGGGATACGGAAGACAATATTGAGAATAAGTGAATGACCTAGACTTATTAGACGACATTGCATCTCTGTCCTACAACCAGAGACAAATTCATAAAAATAATATATACCGGTATGTAAAAATCAATTCAGAACAGCTCAGAAGCATTATACGTTTCTGGCAGGAAACGCACAAAAAGAAATGGAGGTCTTCACACACGTAGACAGCACCATTAATGTACATGGTGGATCCGAAGCCAATGTCAGGGCTAGAATTGGATATGCTAGGGCAGCATGTGTGCTATTGAAGAAAATATTGGGAGCCTAATAAGCTGACTCTGCAAACAAAAGTCAGAATTTTCAACACAAATTTCAAAACATTCCTACATAATGGTGCATAAATTTGGAGAACCACAGTGAGCATTTCATAGAAAGTACAGGCCTTCATAGATACATGACTTATAAAGATTCTAAACATCAAATGGAAAACACTATCACCAACAAACACTTACCAGATGGCTTCTGCTAAAGACATCATAAAGAATAAAACTGAGGTGGATAGGGCACACTCTCAGCAAACCCCCAGATAACATCCCCAGACCTGAAATATAATAAGCATAGAAAAAGCAAGAGATGCAAGCATACAATACAGGGAGATGCGAGCTAGAGGCAGACACACGAAGTATGGGATAAATCTGGAAGTTAATTTTAAAAAAAGCACAAGTCGAAGATGAATGGAAAATTCTTGTGAAAGGTCTAAGCCACAGAAATGCTAAAAGGCATAAGTATGTAGTATGTAAAGTATTTCAGTAAAACTTAACAATTTTAAAGTTTTATTGGATACAAAAGCATATCTGAACAAGTCTATAATGAATATGGCGAAACCAAAAAGTGTAATTGAAAAGTTTTTCTCTGGGCTTACTTTGTTGAAGCATAACGTTCTCAATCTTCTGGAACAAATTTATTTATGTATTTTGACATGATAAAAAGTAGGCTTTAAAAACCCATTTCACAATATTATGTCGTTGCAAAAAAAGAGCACCAACTGTATACGGATTTTTTAACACCCTATTATTTTGCTAATTGTTATATTTCAACTTAAAATTGAAATAATTACTATATATATATATATATATATATATATATATATATGTATGTATATGTCCAAATGCGAAAAAAAATGTCACTTACAATTTTGCAATATTTAACACCTGCCAATTATTTACTGATTTGGATCAACTCGTTTATTATTTTTAATATACGTCTTAGTCGTTTCTTCCATCACGAAGAACCTGGAGGCTGCTTTTGAATTTATAATTTTTGAGGCGAAAGTACTGAAGCATTTTATTATTTTCAAAAAATCAAAACGCTAAGAATTTGAATAAGTTTGTAAATAAATATATCTAGGAGATCCCAGCATTTTCAACTCATTTTTGTGACAGAAAAGAACTTAGAAACAACACTGATTCATTCTCTTTTTAACAAAATGCATGTTTATTATAAGGAGCTTAAATTGTTAAACGATTTCTTGTAATATATTTCCAAATGTGAAAATATTATTTAGAAGGAAAACAATAATTAAGATTAATGTTTTATATTTAGTGTAGGCCAAAAAATGGGAACAAATAAAAAATTAAGTTAAATTAAATCACGGGAACAGGCTGCTCTCAGAAGAGGCATTGCCACCAACGATGTTTGTTTGCAGTTAAGCGTGTCATCTGAGCAGGATGCTAACAGAACAGATAACAGCCATATGAGAAATTTCAAACAAAGATATTTGTTAGTATTGAAGTTCGTCACCTGCGCAAATTGCAACCATGAAAAGCAATCGAGGAAAGAGTAACAGATAGATGTAGGTCTGGAAAGAATGACATCATAAGTTACGAAACCTGATGAAACCAGCCCTAGTTAAAACACGGCCGAAATTTACTTGTTGAAACATTTAAACATTCAAATTATTTGGTTTTTTTTATATAATTTTTACTTCAATATGAACAATCCGTGATAAATCTCACATAACAAGTTTAATTTTTATAATTGTACCATTTCTTGTTAACTGCATACCATTCAGATTATACTTCAATTTTGCAGGAGTTCAATATACTGAGTTTCCTAGGATGGTGTTTGCATCATGAAATATTATTTTGAATCCATAGAGATTCAGTCAGCTAAACGGGGTAACATACTGTCAATATTTCAAACATTTGCATTTTATTGCAACAGCTACCTGGTAAGATAATCACTAGACATCGTAGAATAATTAATAAAGTGGCCAAGATTATCAATACTAAGCATAATGCTAGATCGCTAGTAATTTCGTCTTCAAACAAATGCAAGATGCTTTGTAATGCTTTTTAATATATCAAGCTCTAAAAAGACAAGTTATTGAAAAATCCGTCATTCCTGACAGATTTAAAAAAAAGCTATACATTTTATATTATATTCATATTTACATGTGAACTTACAGATTTGCTATTTCTTATATTACATATATATTTGGTAACAAATTAAAAAAAATTTTACTATTATTTTTTTAAGAAATATAGTATTAAAATAATTGTCTTTTAAGCCTTTTCTCTTTCACCTCGTCATTTTTACACACCTTTTCCACCAACGATTAACTCCCTGTTGTTTGCTGATGTGTGTGTTCTATGAATGCGATGATAACAAACTCAATCGTGCACGTTCAGTACGCGGGTGGACTGCCAGTCAAATATGTACTTTTAAAGCTTTGGCGCACGAGGGGCATACTTTGTTTCGGGTCCTAACTAACGCACATATTCTGGTGAAGGTCTGAGATTACTCTCTTATGACCTCGGCTAGTAAATTGGCTATCAACTCCATCTGTTGAGCTGAGCCATACAACATTTCCCTCACAAAGGATCCTCCAACCGCCCTGGCTTCCCCCGGGAGATCTAGTGCGGGACATTCAGTCAACAGATGTTCTAAGGTCTCTGGGGCCAGGCTGCAATGCCGGCAGGTAGGATCTCTGTTGTTGTCCAACCTCCAGAAATATGTTTCGGGTCCTAGTTGAGTCGATTCTGCTTTTCCTTGCACTCCAGATTTTTTATGGGCGTTATAAGTCTGCTTATTCTATGAGTAGTGTGTCTGAAAAGTCAGCTTACAAGATCAATAGTAAGTTTTTTTTCTCCCAAAAATCAAGGTCGATGTGCATGGGTTTGAGTAAAGCTTTTAGGCAGTCTTGAATTGTTTTATTTTCTGCCGCACAGCTGTGCGTATGCCACTGGAGAGTTCACCGAGGGGAAAAAAGTGCTGAGCTAATAAATAATAAATATAATTTTCCAGCAAATATTGAAAGACACGAATTTTTATTTGTATTAATGTAGCGCGGTTAAACTCTTACGTCTGAATTTAAGAATTTATACCAAAACATCCTAATGTTAAAGAACTTAGAAGACCAGTGACTTTTGTTTACAAAAATTTCATAAAGCATGAACTCTGTGAATGACCGAAACATCCGATCGGTATCTAGATGATGTTTGAAAAAAAAGGTTGAATAAATAGTTTTTTCCTTATCTCTGATTCTAAATTAATTTCTTATGAGTTATTATTTTCTTGTAGATAAATTATTGCAGATTGTGTTTCCTTTTTTGAAAAACAATTTGTAAAAAAATATGTTTTTTTCAGTCCAAGCTTTCTGGAATAATAACTTTTAAAGCGGTTATGAATCTATTACCTTACATATTGCAAGTTTTGAATTAAACAAAATCACTTTGATGTTTATTCTTGGTTTGGCAATGCTTGCATTCGACATCTAAAAAAAAAAAGTAAATATCACCGTATCACACATAAAAAATTATTTTTATTATTATGAAAAAAAAAAAGAAACATTCATTTTAAACATTTTGGCAACAATTGAAGCTTAAAAATAACTGTTTAGCAGTTGTATAACTGTTGGCTTTTTTATCGACTGATAGGGGTTTTTTTTAAGGAGATTTCAAATATTGATATAGAATACTGTAACAAGAATGGTGTTAAATAATCAGATAATACACATATATATATATATATATATATATATATATCCCTGTAGCGAGATTCAATTCTTTCGCTTTCTTTGTTTCTCTAGTTCTAATATCTTTAAAAAAAAGAACGAACACAGATTTGTAAGAATTAAAAATGTAGCCTTGCATTGTTGCGGGGAGCGTGGAAGCACTGATGTCATTTGGGATGACATTTGTACATCTATTAATTTATGGTTAAGAGAAATATGAATTGTTTTATCTATAAAAGTAGAAAATCAAACGCAGCAAGAAAGAAATTTGGCTCGAAAAAAATAACAACGATTCAGAAAATTAAAGGTGTAATGGAATTATCGACACAACATTAGTCCAGTAGCAAGCACAAACACGGATCAGCTCCACAGACACTATAAAATACTAGATAAAAGATTGATATTGTGGGAAATCTATTACCGGAACATCTGCAGAGAAATGCAGGTTCTTTGTAAAATGGGAATTATTTTTTCTAGATACTTAATGTCTAACCTGTCCATGTTTGGCTTTTCTTAGTGACGATGAATCAAAAGATTTGTCAAGCAAAAGTTGTTTGTTTTTTTTAATTGCTTGAAACGATGGGTGACTTTTATCCTCAAGGAATGTGAACAATATATGGACACTAGATGTTAACCAATTATCAGATTACATTTTACACTGGTTAGTAAATGCTTTTGACAGAACACGGTTTTTTCACTGGGGCCATACTGATTAATTTAGTTTTTCATAAGATCGACGTCACCAGTTGTTTCAGTTTGGTATATTGTGAAAGCCTCTGGGACCTGCCCATTTTGGAAATTAAAGTATCACCCACGTGGGAATTCCTATTGACAATGCAGTTTGGAAAAATAAATTATCATGGGATCAATGTTTGGCCAAAAAATACGACTGTATTTTGGTAATAACTGGTTGCTTTCGTTGTGTGCAGAGAAAGATTGAATTAATAATTTCAAAGGTAATCTAAATATACTGCAATGACTATTGTTTAAATTGAGTTTTGATTATTTAAGTCAGTTGAAAATATACAAAATATCGTTCACATGTTTTCCATCATATAGTCGGTGTTGGTGCTCTTCTTTGATAGTGGCACCCGACAAAAACTGTCTAGGCCAGCACAAATTAAGGGCATAGTATAAGTTTTCAGGTTGAAAGATTGGTTAAAACCCGATGGCTTTATTGGTATCGCTCAGTTCGCAAAATAAAGATTACAATTTGTTACGCACTGGATTCTCTTGTGAGAAATTAATCTCCTTTTTTCCAGTTATGGCTAGTTCAAACAGTGCCTTGCCTAACAAAGGACAATACCAAAGATAAATACCATAAGAAAATTACGACACCAAAAACATGTGCCAATTACAATTCAAAAGATTTAATTTAGTAATAATGCAATCACAAAACTAAAGAAACATAATTACAAATCATCAACTTACAGAGTATCGGAAATTCTTGTACATGTACACAATAAGTACAATGTGCCAATTAATACTGATAAATGATGAATTCGAATAAACACATATGAGCACACAAAGAATAATACAATTGTCTCGTAAAATTAATAATTTCTATATCCATCTATCTCAATCTACGCCTGAAACTCCTTCTCAATCTCCTAAAACCTTTATTTATATTGTGGGTTTACCGACGCGTCCGAAATGCCTTTACTTTTCTAATATAATCGCGAACATTCGACAAAAAAAAATATATTATTTTAGTTGCTGTCGGCAATAAACACGACAGATTAAAATACTAAGCCACGCCAATTTATGAAGGTAGTGTCTCATGTGGGGTCAACCAGAGTGCACGCACGAGAAAGTGTTGTTAACAAGCTCTAAGTAAAATGTTTAAATCATTTTTAATGTGTTGGAAGAAATTTGATTACAGAATGATGACTGGTTAGAAAAATCAGACGCTTAAGGACTGCGGAAAAGTTCAATACCATTTCTGCGTTGTTTTCTTGTGGCTGAAAATTATAGGGGCAGCTAATTCATTATCGCATGATATACAAAACTCGTCAGGAAATTATATCAGCAGAACATCTGCTAGAATACATCAAAGAAGATCTTAATGAATTTTGAAACAATTACACTAGGGATCCTATTGTGAAAGAAGCTGGATTTCAAATTGTATTCCACTGAACGTTGACAATAACTATGGCACTGTACAAGGCCACAAAAAAACTAAGGGGTGTAAAACATTTCAAAAACTGGTAACATGTTTCAGAAACGACTCAACGTAATGCGAGCCATAATCCTTTTTTGCATGCGAGGACAAGTTAATTTTCGATTTTCATTGCTCGATTTTCAGTTAGCTGTGGAATTCTAAAATGTGTGCATCAAACTCAATTTTATAAAAACTTGTATGCCCGATATAGCCTACGCGCTTGTAGAATTATATCTTAAAAACTTTGTCGTTATAGTGATGATTTACAAAGAACAGTATTCAGCAAAGTCTTAATCAAAATTATGTTTAAAATATGTTGAATATTCTTCAACTTCAAACAGGCTTGTTCCGTCTTCCAAATGATTTTTAGTAGTTTCTTGAAAGTAATCGACATTGCCGGTAATATCAGCTTAAAATGAAAGTTTTTTATATATTTTTTTTGTATTCAAAAGAAAAGAGTAAAAATATTTATCAAAACTAGAAGTGAAGTCAAACGACTCAGTAAACTGCTGGTACTTGAATGTATACAAGAAGATTACAAAATTTGAACGTAGTCGAAGTTCTTGTTAATGTTGGTCTTTAGAAACAAAGACGAAATTCTATGATTTGGAAAATCGTTGTAGTGAATTTAGTGTGCTATATGGACAGATTAGAGTTTGCTTTGTTGTTTTTCGACATTGCTGGCATGTAGCACTGTAGCAACAATAACAAATACACCAAAATCTAATTTCTAATAAGTTATATTCTCTTCAGTTTCACATTGTCGCTGAAATTATATTAAATAGTACACATTTTGCAATCTTGCAAAACTGGCTTGTACACAGTGATTATCTCAGAAATTTTTCCCCCGGTTGGCCGCTTCAGATTTTTCGTGGGGAGGGGGGGGGCAGTCCCGCAGTTCCAGGTGATATATTGTTGGATATATTTTTGCCCCGGAGGTGGGGGGGCACTTGGCTTTCCCTTGGGGGGGGGGCACTGCCGCAGAGATATAGCTGATAGAAACCCTGCTTGTAAATGCAGATAAATATGAACAGCACAACATGGCATCAAAATTCTCCCCCCCCCCTCCTCCCCGTGTCCCACACCCTTGAAATGAAATAAAATGACGCACCTAGCGTTGGTGGGCATGGTTTGGATTTAATATGGGAAATAAACACCAATTTATATGTCTTTAAAAAAAAAAAAAAATTCCCACACCCTTGAAATGAAATAAAATGACGCACCTAGCGTTGGTGGGCATGGTTTGGATTTACTATGGGAAATAAACACCACTTTATATGTCTTTAAAAAAAAAAAAAAACTACACTACCAGCACCTGTAATTCCCCAATGGTAATTTAGGAAATTCCCCATTTTACTGGCTTTTATTTTTGGGAATTCCAAAAATGATTGTTTTTGGTAAATTTCCTGAAATGACGTAAGCATGATATAAAATTGGGGTCAATCATTGGTAAGAGTATGTGGAATATTTTAAATAAAAAAACAAGAGCATATTATGTTAGAAATAAAAAAAGCAACTAATGTTTTCCTTAACTTCAAAAGAATTAACATTCTTCATGAGAAAGAAATCTAAATCGTTATTCCTGTACATACATAAATTAACTGACACATGATAATTACTAAAATAATAATGGCTTGAATTGTCATGTTAAAACTTGTTATTTATTTCCCCCCCTTATCTCGTTTTTTCCTAAAGGATTTTTAAAACTAATTAGTATCTCTAAAAGTATGGGGGGTGTAGACCGCAATGGATGCCATCCTAAAATGGGTTGACATTAAATGGTAACTAGTAAATTGTACAACGATGGATCAAATCCTTTTCATACCATATCTTAGACTATGGTAAATTCAAAGCAAGTGGAGGGTGTGCCGCCAAAGGAGGCTGCCACTAGACTAGAGGGTGTTGATAGCAGAAAAGTTTGCCACCAGGAAAGATCGAAGAAAATACAAGGTGCATCGACAAGCACACTTGGGGTAGAGCCATAATTTAGTCTGGGTGGGGTGGGATCGGTAGGTTATATCATTTTTAGAAAATACAGTTTAAGTAGACAAAAATCAATGTTAAATCTTACCACGTCATTTTATAAACAAGATGGCCAACACAGCTTTTATAGCCAGATGTTTTCGGAAAAAATTATTATGACGAATAAGTGTTAAAAATTGCTAAAATTATATTAATTATTAGAATGAATGAAGAGTAGATTAGTTTTGGACAAAAAAAAAAAAGATAAATTAATTAAGTTTTTTTTTTTTTTAAGTTACTCATATCTTAATGTTTGTTGCAATTAGCAGAGGCGCAGCGAGGGGAGGGCAGGGGGGCAGATGTCCCCGGGCGCTTTTTTGAAAAAAAAAAAAAAAATAAATTAATTTAGTTTTTTTTTTTTTTAAGTTACTCATATCTTAATGTTTGTTGCAATTAGCAGAGGCGCAGCGAGGGGAGGGCAGGGGGGCAGATGTCCCCGGGCGCCAGGTAGTTAGGGGCGCCAAAATGTGCTTTGATATTATATTATTGATGAAAATAATGGGTTTAAGAGTTGAAAAAAAAAAAAGAAAAAGGGGCGCTTTACAATGGATTTGTCCCCGGGTG